ACCCTCAGCGGGAGTCGAACCGCGACAGTTCAGGATGGAAGCTTGACACGGTAATCGCTCGGCTACACTGCCACGAGCACCTTCTAAAACACAGGGAAAATGTGAATTTTTTAAGGAAGGCCAGGCCTTTTTGCCATATCATATTTATTTGTTTGAATTGTCGATGAAGCGAACGTATATCTGCTTTATTTTTCAAATTTAGTATTGGTTTTCATGTCTACCAGTAAATCAGTAATATGAGATGTATTCCCCAATTTCGTTTAAGGTGATGAAGGACTAGTAGAAAAAGAATTTTCACACAATGATATGAGTTGATGTGGTCGAGTGGTTAATTTGTCAAGCTCCCATTCTGCACTGTCGCGGTCCGACTATCGCTGAGGGTGCTGATAAGACCGATGCGAGGTTGAAACTGCAGTTCATTGGTGCCTGGATGAGAAAAATATTGGGAAAGCAAGGCTATGTGAAATTCAATGGAAATGTCAGCTCAACTCATATCATTGTGGGAAAATTCTTTTTCTACCAGTCCTTCATCACCTTAAACTCATATTACTGATTTACTGGTAGACACGAAAAACAATACTTGATTCGAAAAAGAAAAGACTAGTTGTGTCACCTCCTTTATACAGGCGGCTCAACATCCTCTCTATCCTTTAATCTATTATTTAAGCACAAGTGATTTTTGCTTATCTTCTTTCCGGTATTAATTATATTCAATGTATTTCCTATTTAGTTTTTTTAGATGGCTTCTCTAATTTTTCGTTTAGCCGCAGACATGCCATAACCAGTAAATCGACAAGTTTGAGGCCATTCAAGGACGTATCCCCTTTCTGCTCTGTGCTCAGCAAGCTCAGACTTTTGAACCCAATAGCCTTTTAATGCGCTTTTGTGCTCAGCCACCCTTTGTCGAATGGAACGACAAGTCTCTCCAACATAAAAGCGACCACATGAACACCTTATTTTGTAGCAACCCGATCTGGTTAATGGGTCAAATTTCTCTCTGAAAGCAGGCATAACTTAATAAAGTGTCGTAGTTTCCCTGTAGACCGTTTTTATTCCCTACTTCTTCTTTTAGAGAGAACGCACGAAGGTTAAGACAAAACACGAGAAAAGGTCTCCTTATCTCTCCTTACGTATTCACTATTCAAAAAGCTATTCTTTTTTAATATGATGTTATTTTAAATCAAACCTAAGGGATAATTATTCTCATGCCGATTCAATTCATTGTCACAGTTGTCTCTATCGGCTAATCTTATGCTCCGAACTACCTTTGTTCTGTAAATATGATTGGAGAAGAAGTTAAGGATAAAGCCAGCATAGGTAAGCAGGGATGTATATAGAAAGGCAATGCATGCTGGCTTTATCCTTAACTTCTCCAATCATAGTTACAAACTAAAGGTTGTTCGAAGCATTAGACTAGCCGATAGAGACCATTGTGAAAATGAATGGATCGGCTTAAACTAATATTTCTTGAGAATAATTATTCCATAGGCTTGATTGAAAATAATATTAGATTAATAAAGAATAGCTTTTTGAATGAGAAATACGTAAGGTGAGATAATAAGACCTTTTCACATGTTTTGTCTTTACCTTTGTGAATTCTGTTTAAAAGGATAGGTGAACAATTAAGGAAGTGGGAAGTAAAAAGTGTCTTCAGTTATGCCCACTTTTAGAGAGAAAGTTTACACATTATCCAGATCGGGTTGCCAAAACATAATCTACTCATGTGGTCTCTTTTATGTTGGAGGGTAGCTGAGCACAAAAGCGCCTGCAAAGGCTGTTGGGTTCTAAAATCGGAGCTGGCTGAGCACAGGACAGAAGCAGGACACGTCCTTGAATAGTCTTGAACTTGTCGATTTACTGGTTATGACATGTCTGCGGATAAACGAAAAATTAGAAAAGCCATCGAAATGAACCGAATAGGAAATACATTGATTGAAAGTAATATCGGAAAAATGATAAGAAAAAATCACTTATGCTTAATTAATAAATTCAAGGATATAGATGATGTTGAGCTGCCTGCATAAAGGAGGCGATATAACTAGAGTGTTTAGACTACTTGTAAATCAGTATTATGGGATGTATTAACCATATTTCGTTTAAGATGAGGAAGTACTGTTAGTATAATTTTCACACAATTATATGAGTAGAGCTAACGTTTTCATTGAATTTCACATAGCCTTGCTTTCACAGAATTTGTTCTCATCACGAATAGACTGCAGCTTCGACCTCGCATTGGTCTTATCAACACCCCCAGCGGGAGTCGAACCGTGAAGGTGTAGCATCTGAGCTTTACATGTTAACTACCCGGCAACACTGCTACGAGTACCCTTGGGTCACAGGGAATGTGTGCATTTCTAGGAAGGCCACGCCTTTTTCTATATCACATTCTTTATTGGGATTGCTGACGAAGCAAACTTATTTTTTCTATAACAGTCGATAACTTTAATTAATTTTCGTATGTTAATAAGCGAAATATGGTGAATACATCTCATATTACTGATTTTCTGGTAGTTTCGAAACTATTGCATACGAAAAATAAATAACGTAGTCGAATGTTAAAGCAAAAATACATTTGCTTTATCGACAATCCCACCAAATAATTTGATATGGGAAAAGGTCTGGCCTTCCTTGAAATTCACATCTTCCCTGTGACCCATCGGCACTCGTGGCAATGTGGCCAAGTGGTTGCCGTGTCAAGCTCACATTTTGCACTTTCACTGTTCGACTTTCGCTGGGGGTGTTGATAAGGCCGATGCGAGGTCGAAACTCCAGTCCATTCTGGATGAGAACAACTTTTGGGAAAGCAAGGCTATGCGAAGTTCAATGGAAACGTCAGCTCTACTCATATCATTCTTGGAAATTCTACAATCAGTCCTTAGTCTATTCTTGCCTTGGCTATAATCATAATCACTCTTTCACTCTCTCGTATTAAGAGAATAAAGAAAAAAATTGGTTTATCAACAAAACCAGACATGTGCTTGACCTTGCGCAATCGAAGTGCTGATCATACCATGTATGTAGAAATGTGGAGATAGTAGTCATTAAACATTGAAGGCCAAGACCAGACGTTACTTTTGCTGTCCTAATTACTTTGAGCTATTACTGCTGGTTTCGCACATATGCACAATTATACAGGTACGTGACCATATGGGGAAAGAAGACCTCATATGACTGGAACTATCCAAATCACTTTATACCTTATCAAAGAGACCAGATATGGAGTATATATATACCACTTTTTATGGATTTGTCGATGAGTTTTCTTGACTCGCTAGCTTGAATTTTTTTGTCACGATGATACCTTGTTCTGATGATGTTCGTCATATGATGGACGAAGGCTTAGCAACTTTTCACCAGAATCGAAGGAGATTACCTCGAAAACAGCATGGCCATGAAGGTTTCAGTAAGACCAATTGACAGATGGTCAAGAGGAATCCGCCGTCGTCTTCGGATGGAATTATCCTTCGAATCTATTCACCAAATACTTTCACTTAAAATGGAAGTATGCTCAGCAAGTTGCAATAATCACCCATATTCATGCTTAATTAATTTACATTGCTGCTAGACGGAGAGTTTGGCCGATCATTGTGAAGTGATTTTGACGTTTTTCGATTTTCCCAGTAAAAACCGTCTCCTCGTTTCCACTGCCTCATCACTCACAATTAGTTTCGAACTCGTTACACGCCTCTCTCGGAATATGCATACACCCCTAGTACATTAGAAGACTGACATAATATATACACATATATGATTAACAGTGTGGCTTAGTGTTTAAGTGTCGAGACCATTCGATGGTCTAACTGAGCTCGAATCCCGCTATGAACGTTAATAAAATCCAGGCAAGGTCGAAACTTCAATCCACTTCAGCCGAGAGGAGAATGTCTTTTGTAAAGCGAAGCTATGTGAGATGCATAGGAAACATAGGGTCTATTCATATCAATTTTGGAAAATTTAACCACCTGTCAATCATCAACTTAAAAAAAATAGGGCGAAATAAGCTTATATATAAGATCTAGAGTAAATCCTTTTTCGGTTTCTTGCGAGGTTACTTTTATTTTCCCCAAATGTAACCATCCATTTATATGAAATCATTTAGTTAGTCTTCGAATCCTAGGATGTCAATCGAGTAATGGGGGCCTTTAATTTGTTGTGGCTTTACTCATAAACATATGACGGATGAAAGCTTGACATCTTTTTACCGGGATCTTCTCTTAGCCCTTATCATTTCAGTCTACTTTGTATTGCATTCACTTCGAGTCATTCAACTTAAAGTTGAATTTAAATTGCTGGCTATTGCTTTAATAAATGATGTGTTATTTTCAGAACGTGTATTTGACCAATTAAATTTGCTTTAGTGGAATTGAAAACATCAAGATGCAACAATGTTTACGAGTGTTAGACTACCTTTCAGTTCGTTTTAATAAACAAGGGGAAGGGATTCGTAAGTTGATTCTACCGGAAGCTGTGGAGGGATTGCCTTGGAGCTGTGATTGTAGGTTTATGCAAATAGGTATTCAGTGCACCGCCCTGCGCCCCCGATGAATCGGTGCTTAGCTTTCATCCTTCATGTGACGGTCATCTTCAGAGCAGGATACTATGCTTAAAGATAATTCATCAAAAATGCAAAGGCAAGAATGGTAGTTTTTATGATGAATTATCGTTAAACATGCTGTCCCGCTCTGAGGATGTCCGTCACATGACGGAGGAAAGCTCATCACAGATTCATCGGGGGCGCAGGGCGGTGCACCGAAGACTTATTCGCAAAAACCTACAATCACAGCTCCAAGACAATCTCCCCACAGTTTCCTGTTGAACCAACTTACGAATTCCTTCCACTCGCCTCTTCAAACGTAATGAAAGTTTCTCCAACATCAAACTATTAAAGGATTCTCCGAAAGCCAGTTTTTCGACATACCAATGTTTACAAATTATTGAATAGATTGCATGATCTTATAGGTGATTGCCTAGACAACATCAGATTGTTTGACTTCGATAGAGCGTTATTGCAAGCAATAGCCCCTGGCACAAGCGGCTCTGGCTTGCAGTCTTTCTTCGCTTTTGTCCTCTGTGTTCGACGTCGAGGCCAGTGTCTGTAGCCAATGAGTGGCCTCGTGACGAGATACCATCTCATCCGACACAGCTCCTTTAAGTCTGGCTGCAGCCAAATTGTAGGCAGCTCGTGAATGACCCTTCTCAGCCGCCTTGCGTAGCCATACCACAGCCTGGCCAAGGTCAGGTCCGCCGGTGAGTCGGCCGTTTAAGTAATTATGGCCTAACTGTTGCTGCGCCTCCTGATGAAGCAAAATAGTAAGAAACAATTGTATGAACTTATATGAAATGTATTAACGCTATTTTGTTTAAGGTGATTAAGGACTGGTAGTAGAATTTTCCCACAATGAGATGAGTTGAGCTGACCTTTTCATTGAATTTCAGATAGCCTTGCCTTGCCAGAATTTGTTCTCATCCAAACAACAGTGGACTGCAGTTTCGACCTCGCATAGATCTTATCAACAACCCCAGTGAAAGTCGAACTGTGACAGTGCAGCATGTGAGCTTGACATGTAAACCACTTGGCAACACTTCCACGAGTTCCCTTTGGTCACAGGGCAAATGTGAATTTTAAAGAAGGTCATGCCGTTACCCATACCACAATCTTTGGTGGGATTGTCGATGAAGCAGATGTAGTTTTGCTATAACATTCGACTGCATTACTTCTATGTGAATAATTAGGTGATTAGAGTTCTGTGATGCGACTTATAGTCGATTTTCATCTACAATCCGATGCGTAGGCCTCAGGATGCAAGTAAATTTAACTTAAATATCGAAAGTATGAAGACCAAGATGGTGTGGTATTTTTGGTGGTCGCAGTCTCCTTCCGTTGTATAGAAGTTGTTTGACCTTGTTTTCGCAACTTTGTCATATTGGTAGGAAGACTTATAGAAACGCACCTTTTCCTGAGTTCATTGTATGCATGATCATTTTCAGAGTAGGATCGTTGACGTGGTACATTTTCAGACGTTTCGCCGGCATCGTAGTCGGCATCGTCAGTAAGTCTCGCCATTCGTAGCACCATATTGCAACTCGTCAAATGGACAAGTGAAGCCCATCCTTTGACCAAACGTGTGCTAAAGAGTTATGGTATCTTGCCTTCTGCCCTTGCCTATTCACATTGTGGAGTGTGAAGGGTTTTCATGAATGCT